TAGTCAATTAAATTTTTTAGAATTAATTTTATTTTCATACAAATTTCATGTTCGCAATCAAATGCATCCTAGCTGCTTGAAACCTTGAATGAAACGCAAAATGCAACGCTCTCCTGCTACTTAAGCACTATAAATACACATACATTGTTACATGTATACATATATACTTACACGGACGTATGAATTTACTTTGTGGGACAAAATGAATAGTCAGCTATGGGCCTTACCACATTGAGGGTCGGGCCCATAAATCCAATTTAGGAAAATATCACGAGGAAATTACAAAAAATCAGACATTTAACTTTTCAAATTCAAAATTCAGGTATTAATTGAATTATTAATAATATTAACCCTAAATCACTCTCTTTCATTCTCATCTTCACCCCATCTCTCTCTCTCTCTCTCTCTCTCTCTCTCTCTTCCTCTTCATCGGCAGCATACAACCGGCGAAAGCGGCATCGGCGAACTAAGTGCCATCGTAAGTCGTGACTGTCGCGCGGAGATCTGAGATTTTCTAGCGACGACAACGATGAAGCTCCAACGATGGATAAATGGAGTGAAAAGTAGATGATGCTTAAATACTTTGACGAAAACGACGATGGTAAAATCTCAAAAGAAGAGCTAAGGAGGTGCGTGAGGGCTGTAGGTGGCGAAATGTCAAATGAGGAGATGGAAATGGTGGTGCAATCATTGGATGCTGACGTCGATGGAATGTTAGGGATAGAGGACTTCTCAAAACTAGTAGAGGACGGCGGCGAGGTCAAGAGAAATGACGAATTGAAGGAAGATCTGAGGCTACCTTTTAAAATGGATTGATGGTGATGGGTTAAATTGGTCGATGATGAAGTGAGATCAGAGAAGATGGCAAATGTTGGTGGCTGAGGTGTTGCCGACGACATGGCGTGGTGGTTGCTGTAGGGCTTATTGGATTTGGTTGGTTATTAAGGAGTAGCGTGAGGGCTGTAGGAGGTTGTGTGTTTCCTTTGGCGGTGGTCGTACGTTTCTGTTGGTGGTGGTGTGACAGTGCGATCGAGATGGTGATGGTGGTACAGTGGTTCTAGGTGGTATAGTGATTTGTTGGCAGTGACTTTGTTATTGGTAGTGTTGTAGTGCTATGGCGTTGGTGGTGGGTGAGGGTGGTTGCAAGTGGCTGTAGTGGCCGTGCTGGTAGTGTTGGAGAGGGTGGTCGAAGTGGCCATAGTGGTAATGGCGATAGTCTGTGACCAAATGTTTGGTAATTTGTGATCGATTACTCAACTATAACCTAAAAATTTAATAATATGTGACTCAAAAATAATCCGTGACCTCGAAATAATCCGTGATCAATTAATTTTAAAATATGTAACANTAGTGGCGGTAGTCTGTGACCAAATGTTTGGTAATTTGTGACCAATTACTCAACTGTGACCTAAAAATTTAATAATATGTGACTCAAAAATAATCTGTAACCAACTAATTTAAAAATCCGTGACCTCGAAATAATGTGTGATGTACAAAATTTTTATCTATAACCTCGAAATAATCTATGATCAATTAATTTTAAAATATGTGACATGTGACCTATAATTACGTATATGTGACCATTAATTATATAATTGTGATTTTATTATATTTAATTAATAAATATTTTTAATTAATTAACTAAAAACATGATTTTTGTATTAGTCAAATTTAAAGCCTAATTTTTGAATTGTGTATAGTTAATATCTTACTTTTGAACTCTTCCCAAATATCATTATCGTCAAGTTTTGATTTAAACGTAATTTTAAAAGTGAAGTCTAAAGTTCTTTGAAATAATGAGTGGTTCTCAATCATCTTCCATGCCATCTTCATACACGTAGGAGAATGTTTGGCTAAGCTTAAAAAGTTCGAACTTACAAGTAAATAAACTTTGAAGATTAAGATATGATAAAAATTCACATTAGTCATTTTTATTAAAAGCTAAATGAATATGATACTTCCAGAAAAGGGTAATTAGCAGAAATTGTCCCTCACGTTTACAGTCGTTGCTAAAATGGTCCATATCGTTTTAAATTTGATATTTGTACACTTATTTCAAACGTCCGTTGCCGAATTGGTCCTTCCATCCACTTCCGTTAAATCAGCCGTTAGAAAATTGAATGGAATTTACCAATAATATTTGAAAAAGGGTAAATTAGTCAACTTCTCATATTTTTGCATACGTTAGAACATATACTCCCTCTATCTCACCCAAGACAAGTCCAGATTTATGGTCTAAAGCCAAGGCTTGGCCCCTTGAATCCACCTTTCAACACCAAAAAGTCCGAGTGACCAAAGAAGGCTAGACGAAAGGAAGCTAATGAACGTGAAAGTATGAGCTCATCAAGTAATGCTGAGGCATCTTCAAGCAATGCTAGAGCATCAACAGTAAATGCAAGTAGGGTGGGGTTGAAGATGAAGTGCAAGAAGTGCAAACAAACATGTCACAACAAAAGAACCTGCAACACTTTGCCACAACCAAATGCTACCTAAGGGTGTGGGGATACACAAAATATTTCTTGACTTTTGACTGCTGCAATCGTTTTTTGTAGATCTTATGAATTTTTGTCTAATAGCTCAATGTAATATACATAACATGCAGTTTAGCATATCAGAAATATTGAAATCATGTTTGGTTGGTTAACAATATAATTATCTATTGTGTAGCAGTTTTTTCCCCCCTTTTACTATGGTATTTTGTATATATTGTAGTAGGTTAATATTGAGAACTTATACTACATAGCTCATTAATGATTATTTGTGCAAAATGGTTAAAGGATTAAGGATGATATTTGCCGACAACGTTTTGATATGGGATCTAAACTTGGAAATTACATCAAACCATAAAAATTATATTCAACGGAAATTTTAAGAGAAAAAATATGGAAAGTTGACTAATTTACCCTTTTTCAAATATTATTGGCAAATTTCATTCAATTTTCTAACGGCTGATTTAACGGAAGTGGATGGAAGGACCAATTCCGCAACAAACGTTTGAAATAAGGGTACAAATATCAAATTTAAAATGATAAGAGACCATTTTAGCAATGAATGTAAACGTCATAGACCATTTCTGCTAATTACTCTCTAGAAAAATAACAGTTCAACCGTGTACAATAAAAAAATATTGGATATTTGTTAAACTGAAAATGACTTGAACATGATTAAAGAAAACATGTTCGTTTAGTGTTTAGTTCATTCAGTTCCATGCACCCGAATATGTCCATCGATGTCCACGAGCAACCGAATAAAGAAGAAATTGATTCGAGGTGGAATCCAAGCAACAAAAATTTCATTTTTCTTACAAATTGGAAACCTCCCGAATAAACACATTCACTCAAGAATTGACAGAAATACGATATCATTATGATATATATTTCTCTTGTTGCTCTTGAAGGAGCCTAGCAGAAGATTTGGCATCCAGATAGAGAGTTCCGACTTCTTCCAGATCCGCCTGCAAAAAACGATACAAGCTGAGTAAATATTCTCCTCACAAATACCTATTAGAATCCTCCACACACTTGTATCTATCTACCTACCTTGCAAATTTCATCCCGACCATTCATTTTAGCAACTATGCTGGCTGGTGATAACAGCTGGACTGCAATATTAGAATCCTCCCCACACTTGTATCTATCTACCTACCTTGCAAATTTCATCCCGACCATTCATTTTAGCAACTATGCGGGCT